GCGAGCCCCGGGTGCTCCGCGCCGGGCAGCCACACCCGAGGACGGCCCACTGCCTGGCGGTGCTGGCAGGGGCACCCCGAGGCGACGTGCGAGGTGCTTCATCCACGCGGGTCTGCTGTGTCGCCAGGACCGCATGTGCCCAGGGCCATCGTCACCAGCACGGGGGCCAGCTCCACCCCGGGCTGAGGGCCAGGCCCCGTGACCACGGGCCCGTGTGCCCGGCTGTGGCCGTGACGGGACTCTGCTTTCCGCTTTCTCGTGGCTACCGCGGCCTAGACGACACCACTGCTCTTGTTCTAGTTTTGCTACGGAACTAGTGCACTCACCCAGGAGACGGGGGAAGTGAGAGCTCACCCCGGGGTGTACCACGCTGTCCTCCCTTCTCCAGGGACTCTGGGCACACACGCTCACACCTGGCATGCACTTGAAGCCACCACGTCCAGGAGGAGAACCACGCAGGTGGTAACGTGAGGCCCAGCGCCCAGCCACACCACCCCTGTGCCACTGCTGACGCCCTTAGCACCCATCTCACCAGGCCACCATGCCCAACGCCCCAGGGCTAGTGGGCAGGCAGGGTGCTGGGCCCTGACGGCACAGCCGGTTAGCTGCATAGGAGGCTGAAAACTAACAGGCGGGACTGGGAAGCCCACCTGCTGCAGGGCGGCGTTCTGGCGCGTGTACTCCTCGTGCAGCCTCTCCACCAGGCTCTGCACCATGCCGGGCTGCACATGCAGCAGGATGTCCCACCAGTCGTAGCCGGTCACCATGCAGTACTCCAGCAGGAAGAGCAGGTGCCGCAGGGCCAAGTGCACATCCAGTGGGTGGCCCATGGAGGGCGAGATGCGGAGCATGCTCAGCTGCAGGCGGACGGGCGGGCGGGGCAGGCAGTGAGGCTATGGGGGCTGGGGCGTGGAGTCCCGGAGCACCCAGGCAGCTGGGTGCCTGGGGAGAGTGGACGCAGCCGTGCGCGCAGGTGCCCGGCAGCCTCTCTGAGGGTGTGAGGGCGAAGCTCGATGCCCAGGAGCGCTCAGGAGGGCAGGCAGTGGTGCACCCTGACTGCCCAGCTGGACCCTCACGTCGGCAGACCACAAGTGCCATCGCTCTGGAGTCTCGGAGCGCTGTGGCCCAGGGTGAGGGCGGGCGGGCCTGGAGGGCAGACTCCGTGCGAGGACCACGCCCGTCCCATCCAGAGACCACAGCCACACCCACCTTCCCGTGGTTGTCGATGCCCACGAGGGCCAGAGAGGCCCAGGACAGCTGCATGGCCTTGAAGTGGACGGCCGGGCCTGCGGTCCGAGGGCGCTTGACAGCCGGCTCGTCCACGGGCCGTGAGGCCACAGAGCTGTGGAAGATGGCCATGGTCTGCAGGGACAGCCGGTGGACTATGTGGACGCTGCCATCGTGGAAAGCCAAGGCCAGCCCTAGGGATGGCGCAGGGTGAGGCAGGCGGGACGGCCACTGCCCCGGGCGCCCAGCGTCCCACAGCGGCCCCCCTGCCTCTGCGTCTCGGCCACCCCAGGACAGTCTGCACCTGGGGGTCGAGTGAGGGCAGGGCGCCCGGGGACCTTACCGAGGGCCTTAGGGCGGGCACAGCCGCCTGTCCCAGGAACTACTGCCGATGCTCTGCCCAACCACAAGGGGCCCAGAACTCTGGATGGCAGAGACTGGAGACATCTCTGTGACACAGCCCGCTGCAGCAAGCCCGAGGGACCCGGGACAAGCACCGTGGCCGGAAGTGGGGTGGGGACCGCCCCCCGACCACAGCGGCTCCTCACGTGCGGTGCATGGCCGCCAGGCCCTCGGGCCCTGAGCCTGCCCGCCTCCTGGGAACCAAGCCAGGTCCCCCAGCCCTACCGAGGCCGGGGTAGAACTGGGTGTCGCTGGCCACCTTGAGGTCGGTGTTGGTGAGCGAGATGGGCAGCTTAGGCAGTGCCACGGCCGACACCCGGTCCAGGTCGTTGGTGGCCGACAGGATGCGCCATTTCAGGATCATAGGCTGCTTGTCACCAGCTGGAAGGAGATGGCCCGGGGGTGGGCGGAGGGCTGGGGCAGGGCTCTGCACCGGGGCGTCCTGCCCCAGCCCACCGGATGGGCACAGGCCTGGCACCACACAGGAGCCTGAGGGGACAGGCAGGCCGCAGAGGCCCACCCCCTCCCTGTGCCAGGGCAAGCAGCGCAGGGCCACACGGACCTCGGCTCCTGGCCCAGCCTCTGTGTGGCCCAGACAGGGGACGGGCTGCGGCCCCCTTCACGTCTGGTGCTCCCTCGGGCTGCACCGGGCTGTTGCGACAGGCCAGTCGGCGCTGAGGCTCCTGACACGTGGCTGTGGCTCTGAGGAGCCCTCGCTCCCTGTGGCCCACTCCAGGGCCCAAAGGTGGGCTTCCTTCTGGGGACGGGCCAGGCTGCCCGGGAGCCAGGGTGCAGCGCAGCACAGGACCAGGAGCCGGCCCCAGGGTCACGGCAGATTGGGGTCCAGTGTTGGGGACGGAGTGGGCTTGTGGGCCCAGGAGGCCAGGGCGGTGGAGACACCACCAAGCCCGGTCGGCCACCTCCCTCACCAGAGCCGGAACGCTGCAGGCACGCGCTGGGGCCCGGTGCCACCTCCCCTCTGCCCGCGGAGACCGCCGCGCTCGCCAGGCCGCCGTGGGACTCACCGACAGGGCAGATCTGCTGGAAGACGTTGTTCACGGGCAGCCCCTCCTTGCGCAGGGACCAGCACTCCACGATGCTGCTGGTCTGGCTGGACGCGCACAGGAGCACCTGCGGGGAGAGGGGCTGTGAGCGTCCGCGGCCCCGACCTGCCCCGGTCAGCCTGCCCGCCCACTGCCCACCGCTCCCGGGCAGAGCTCCGTGGGGCCGCTGAGGGAGCACCTGAGACGCACGGGCCCAGCCCCAGGCCGGCGTGGCGCACCTGCTCCGACATGTCCCGGGCCAGGAACTTGAGGTGGGTGATGGCGGGCAGCCTGTCCTTGCGGCTCGGGTCGGCGGTGCAGCGCAGGAACAGCGAGGGCAGGATCTCCGTGTCGATGCGGCACTTGTCGCTCACCACGCTCACGCACACCTTGTAGAACTGCACGGGCGAGGCGCTGCTGCCGTCCGCCGTGGCCACCACGATGTTGCCGCCGCCCGTGAAGGCGATGTCGGCCAGGGCCACGCGGCCACGCAGCCGGCACAGGCTCTCGGTGGACGTCAGCACCTGCCCGCTGGGCTTGAGCAGGGACACGGTGACCAGGCCGCTGACGGTCACGGCGATCCAGCCCTCCATGGGCTTGCCCCCGAACAGCGTGAGCGATGGCGAGAACTTGACGCGGGAGAACTTCTCGCCGAAGCTGGAGGCACCTGACTGCAGGGAGGGCAAGGCCGCTGAGACTCCAGGCCCCACCAGGCCTCTGCGGAGCTGCACTCGTGGCCACTGTCTAGGGGAGCAAGGTGGCCCGAGTGGGGCTGCCCCGCCCTCCGGGCACAGGCCGCGGCCTCTCCGACCCCACCCTCGGCACTGGAGGGTGGAGGTGTGGACGCAGCGAGCCCGTGTGTATAGGAGCAGCTGCCACATGCCGGGGAAGGGCTGGACACCTGCATTCCCACCGTGGGACCGGCAGGGGCTTCTCGAGGCCGCAGCGGGACCTCTGCATCCAGGGAGGTGGCACCGACCGCAGCCACGAGCGGGTGGCGATGGCCAGGACAGGCCCCCCCACGG